GTGCACAAGAAGCTGGGAGGGGGCACAGCCAGGGGGGCTGACCCAGACTGGCCAGAGGGCTGTTCCATCCCATATGGCGTCATGGCCAGTATAGAAACTGGGGGAGCTGGCGAGGGGCAGCGATCGCTGCTCGGGGATGGGCTGGGCATCGGTCGGCGGGGGGTGAACGATTGCACCGTACATCACTTGCTTTGTATATTATTATTGTAGTATTATTATATTGTTATTACCGCTATTCTGCTTTATTTTACTCCAGTTATTAAACCGTTCTTATCTCCACCCACGAGTTTTCTCACCTTCACCCTCCCAGTTCTCTCCCCCATCCCACTGGGGTGGGGAGCGAGCGAGCGGCTGGGTGGGGTGAAACCATGACACCGCCCCATCCCATCCAGCCCACCCCATCCCATCCCATTCTATCCCATAGATCCCAGCCCACCCCATGCTGGAGATTCCACCCCATCCAGTCACCCCATCCCAACTGATCCCATCCCATCAATCCCATCCCACCTCCATCCCATCCCACCTCCATCCCATCCCACCTCCATCCCATCCCATCCCATCCCATCCCATCCCATCCCATCCCATCCCATCCCATCCCACCTCCATCCACCCCATTCCCATCCCATGCCATCCCAGCCACCCCCAGCCCCGGGCGCGCGGGGTCCCCAGCCATGGGGCAGAGTTTTTGGGGGACCCCAGTCCTGGGCTGTGGGGGCTGTGGGGGTCCCATCCAACTCTTTATTCCCAGTGCACACAAAGGCTTCGGCATCATCCCATGGGATGGAGGGAATGTGCGGTTGGGGGTCACGGGGCCGCGGTGGGTCCTGAGCAGAGGCCGGCGGGGCAGGGTGCAGGCAGGGTGCAGGCAGGGTGTGGGCAGGGTGCAGGCGGGGGGCAGCAGAGCTGCTCCCCCCTCCCCTCATCTCCCAGGCCAGTAAAGCACGAAGCCATCGCGGCTCACCGTCAGCAGCCGCCGGCGCCCACGTAGGCTCAGCTGGATGCAGTCAGAGACCCGGACCCCCAGCTCCCGCTTGGTCCTACGACATCCCGGCATCAGCGGGGGGCTGGCGGGGTGCCGGGACCCCCCCAAATCCCCAGCACCGCCCCAACTCACGCTCGGCAGTGCTCCAGGAGGACGCCCACCAGCTCGCCCACCCGGTTGTCCCCCGCCGGCTGCGTCTTGTGCAGGCACACGGCCAGGTCCTCCTGGCTCTGGGTGTGGAAGACCACCAGCTGCGCCCCGCAGCTCGTCACGCTCAGCCCCGTCACCTGCGGGGACGGCTGGGGGTCACCGCCGCGGCCGTGGCTGCGTGGGGGGCTTGGGGCCATGGCATGGCCGGCGTGGCGTGGCCAAGGCAGCGTGGCCAATGCACCGTGGTCAGCGTGGTGGGGACAGCATAGCATGGCCAGTGTGGTGGGGACAGCGTGGTGGGGACAGCACAGGGGGGACGACACAGTGGGGACAGCACAGCATGGCCAGGGTGGTGGGGACAGCACTATGGGGACAGCGTGGTAGGGACAGCACTATGGGGACAGCGTGGTAGGGACAGCACTATGGGGACAGCGTGGTAGGGACAGCACTATGGGGACAGCGTGGTAGGGACAGCACTATGGGGACAGCGTGGTAGGGACAGCACTATGGGGACAGCGTGGTAGGGACAGCACTATGGGGACAGCGTGGTAGGGACAGCACTATGGGGACAGCGTGGTAGGGACAGCACTATGGGGACAGCGTGGTAGGGACAGCACTATGGGGACAGCGTGGTAGGGACAGCACTATGGGGACAGCGTGGTAGGGACAGCACTATGGGGACAGCGTGGTAGGGACAGCACTATGGGGACAGCGTGGTAGGGACAGCACTATGGGGACAGCGTGGTAGGGACAGCACTATGGGGACAGCGTGGTAGGGACAGCACTATGGGGACAGCGTGGTAGGGACAGCACTATGGGGACAGCGTGGTAGGGACAGCACTATGGGGACAGCGTGGTAGGGACAGCACTATGGGGACAGCGTGGTAGGGACAGCACTATGGGGACAGCGTGGTAGGGACAGCACAGCAAGGCAAGCACAGTGGGGACAGCGCAGCATGGCCAGCGTGGTGGGGGCAGCGTGGTGGGGACAGCGTGGTAGGGACAGCACAGCATGGCAAGCACAGTGGGGACAGCGCAGCATGGCCAGCGTGGTGGGGACAGCACTATGGGGACAGCACGGTATGGCCAGCATGGTGGGGACAGCGTGGTGGGGACAGCATGGCATGGCCAGGGTGGTGGGGACAGCACCATGGGGACAGCACTGTGGGGACATCACGGCAGGGACAGCATCACATCTCTGTTGCAGGGGACTTCACCGTGCCAACGCGGATGGCCCTGGTGTGTGGCCGTGGGGACCCCAGCTCACCAGAACGGGGCAGGGGGCCCCAAGTGACCCTGGGGACACCGGTGGGGCTGGGGACACTCACGGTGCTGAGGGGCAGCGCCCGCATCACCCGGTACTGCTGCCGGGGCTCCAGCTTGTAGAGGTGCTGGTCCGTCACCAGGATGGCCCGGTCCCGGCTCTTACCAAAGCGGTTGATCTGCGGGGACAGGGCCAGGTGAGGGGACACGCCGGGGCGGGGGGGTGACGTGGACGCGGTGGCCGGGCAGGACGCGCCGCCCCTCACCTTGCGGACGTGGCAGGAGAAGAGGACGGAGCCGAAATGCACCTTGTCCTTGAGGGTCTGGAGGCGGGGGGGGGAGGGGAAGGGCAGGCCCCGGGGGTCGCTCGT